TCTATATTCTTTTCTTACTAAGCATGTTTCTGATGTTGAACAAATGTAGAGGTACTTGCAGACAGTGTCAAAGCCATAAATAAAACATTTACATAAAGTTTCTATAAATTACTGGGTCTGTTTCTGTTATTTTGTATCTCTTATTTGAGGTTTACTAATAAGCATACATCATGAGCTCTCTCTTCTAAAGTATTTATTATTTGTGGCTTTAAAACAGCCACTTTCCCAACGGGGTAGCTTTAAGCAACAAGATTGAGGTAAAGCTTAATTTACTTACAACTGCATCTATTTTTTTTTGTACTTCTGAAGTTCAAATCTCCCTGTGATTTCTTTGGGGGAAAGGTGAAAGCTAACGAACTTTAAAATTTACTTGGGCATTGTCAAAATTCAGATTTTCACTGGGATTTGGCCAGAAATCCTATGGCTTGTAACACAGCCCATTCCTTGTAAAGGGTTTGAATAGAATAATGATCATATGTAGGGAAACTAATGTTTAGACAAATTTGATGATTTGAGACCTTTCAGCATACAGGCAACAAAACAAGCACTGCCAGGAGTGACATCCCTATGCAATAGTTCTATTCTCTTTATATGACATGAAGTAAGTTAAGCTCACACTCAAGGGCACGACATGGCTTACACAAATACATGGAAAGCAGGAGGCAATCTCATTCCAGATCGTCTACTACATTCATTGAGTGAGAAAAACTATCATCCAGATGTTGACTTCCAGGTCTTCTTGGCATTATATGTAAAAAATATTCTCCTAGATTTTGTCAAACAGAACCTAAGAACAAAGAAACAGAGTTCATGCAGAGTCTTCTTTGAAAGATGTTGCCTGTCATGCTCATGCAACTGTGATTCCCTATTTCATGTGACATTCTCTCATCATTTGGTTTCTAGTCACGTGTTGAAATTCTTTTTCTTAAATATTTGAATAACTTCAAACAAAAAGGACAGCACTGTGACATACAGTAATTTCAAGGATGGCTTATTATTCCTAAAAGAGAATGAAAGGATAAAAATTCATAGAGAATCCCCCCAACCTTCCCTCTAAATTAAGGTTGACAGATTCACAGGCCTAGGTTCCAGGAACTAGCTGGCCACCCAAAGGAAGAATTAGCCAGGGGGCTAGTCAGCCAGGTCATTACAACAAAGAATAGCAAAACTAGTAATACAGGTTGGCCAAGCCACCCTGGGAAGTGACTGACCATGAGGTAAATGACTAGGTTAAGGTCACAATCCTGAACAGAATGTATACAGGATGTTACTCACTCTCCACTCTGGTCTGTGACTAGTTGAATAATGGAAACTTTCTGTGTACAGGATGTTTCCTACTCCCCACTCTTGTTTATGATGAGGATTGTAATTTCCTATTTCCTCTTGGTTTTCCCCTTTACCACCTTGGTTTGCAGTTTTCTCCTTTAAATATCCCTTGCACCCTAGCCTGGGGGTCGAAACTCTGGCCCTTGCTGTGAGTTTCCACCTCAGTGTGCTGATTATTTGAAATATACCTCTTGTTAATTGCAACAAGAATCTGTGTCTTATGGTCTTTGGGTGGACGTAATCTCTTTTGGGTTGAGTGTGGGGGTCTCCCCTCTCCAGGGGGCCTTACAAGAACAAATTTGCCCCTATTCATGAATTTCATGTTTTACTTTCCTCATCTTTCAAGGTTACTGTTTCACTTGATGATAATATTCTCCTTTACAAGCATGCAGAAGAAGCATATTATCTTGCATTTTACTGCTGATTTCGTTTTGCAAACCTATGTATACTTTTTGGGTTTATCATGTCACTTAGTAAAATTTTGAAACTCAGTCTTTAGATCACAATGGCAAGATTAAAATTTTCAGGAGGAATATGATCATTTGATATTTGCCTAAGTAAACTGCTATCACTGAGTTACCATGTTTTAAAACTCTTTTATCAGTTTGTGAGATTTTCATATATTTTGATATTTTTTACCCCTCTCCTGCTAGACTTCCCAGATCCAACCATTTTCATACCTGTATAACCTTGTGTCATCATTTTTCCTTAAACCTACCAATTAATTCTATAATATGTTGCCTATAAACTTGTGGAAGTAACCAACACTTTCAGATTGGATTTAAATACTCTGAGGTGAAAATACTTCTTTGGAGAAATGAGCAAGCATCTACTCTCCCATATTTCATACTAATAACAGATCAAAGTTCTAAAGTTTAACTTGGGGACAAAATGAGTTTTATTGTGTTACTAATGAAAATATGTATGAAGGGTTACTCATAGATACATAAGTAACTCAAAAGACAGATACATCTCTAAAATCTCACTCTATCATGGGTCCTTACAGCTGGAGACTTGGAGCTCATTGCATTACCTGTAGGGCTCACAGCCCAACAAGTTGGAGGTTTTCCTTTCCAGATGATTCAGTTTTCCTAAGCCTGCTGCAAATGACTCAGCTTGTCAGAGACTCTTAATATAATAAAATAAATATTGATTGAAATATATACATCAAATTATCATTATCGGCATCTGTGTTTTGGCACAGAGAAATAAGTAAAATTGTGGTTGATTATACCGTTTTTTTTTTGTTGTTGTTGTTGTTTGGTTTTCTTTTTTCTTTTTCTTTTTTTTTTTGAGACAGGGTTTCTCTGTGTAGTCTTCACTGTCCTGGAACTCACTCTGTAGACCAGGCTAGCCTCGAACTCTAAAACTCAGAAATCCGCCTGCCTCTGCCTCCCAAGTGCTGGGATTAAAGGCGTGCGCCACCACTGCCCGGCTGATTATACTTTTTGAGATTATTTTAAATTTTTGGCAGTCAATTAAGTGGTGATAAATATTAAAATAATCTATAATTAATTATAGATAAAACAGATATATTAACATTGGTGTAGAACAGGTCAGAATGCTTTGCTCTGAGGCACTTGATTTTAAATGCAGTTCTGGTATATTGACAGATAATTGTCAAACAGTAAAGTGTATCATTTCCAATGGACTGTATTCTGGATTTTGAAAAAATTAGCTGACTATAAATTTTATTTTGTAGATGAAATGTGAGAATATTGCCTCTTTAGAAAGACTCTCGCCTCAGGATCTGTTGTTGGTCAAGTGAGAACTATGATGATCTCAAGTCAGATTGAAAGTTATTAGGAAGAGCAGATGAGTGTAATTTTTGCTGGAAATTCAAAACCTGAGGTTTTCCTGAAAGCCATGAAGTACCCCGTGCCCTTCCCCTAGCCTTAAGCAGGCTGAAAGACCTTGTTTACAACAGTAGACCAAACAATAGGACCCAGGTGGTATTAACCACCTTGGCTGCAGGTACAGACTGCAACAAGAACTTAAAATAATAGACTGCCTGCTGAGCTTGCCTTGATTAATGATGAGTGCCCCTCACCCACGCCAGCTGAAGCAAGAAGGGGTTAGGTGGTGATTCCCATTTAAATTGAAAGCTGAACATTAAACAGGAGCCTTGATCAGAAAACTTTGTCTTGTCTTCATCTCTTCTTGCCCTCCATCTTTCTTTCATTCCCAGCCCCCATTTCAGATAAACCCAGTGGCCACAGGTGGCTACAGTACCCATTCTACACAGCTCCACCCCTAGTCCTGATTCTATTTGTTTCTTACATACTTGGGCTTATTTTGTTACCTGGAAGGAGGAAAGCTACAGGAAACAACCTGCCTCTACACTGAAGGTATGAGTTATGTTTCATTCATAGATGTTTCCTTGATATGTGCCACACCAGTTACCAACATGATATCTACATGAATGGATCTTACCACACAAATGATAAATAATTCTGAGTCTTCAAATTGTTTACCTTCTTTGCTTAGCCTTCCTTCAAGAACTGAACGTACTATTATCAAAGATTCTAAATCACTTCATGCTGTTCACTGCTATCTACACTATGTTTTGCAACCTTCTAAATATAGTTCATTAAGCTATGAATTGCTCTTTAAATACCGAATTATTAGTGTATCAAATTGCTCATTCTTCATCTTTCCCAGTATCTATGACATCCTTCATCTTCTTTGGTGACCATATTTACAATGAAGACACTGGATGCAGTTGATTGTAGTTGGATACAGTCTGATGGTGTTCCTTGCTAATGGAAGGAGAGGGCAGGAATAGGAGTTGTCTTGCTTTGTGGATTAGCTAATCCTCATCTTGACTGGTCACAGCACAAGAAGAGTTTTCCATCTTAAATTCTGGGATAGAGAAGACCTATTACACCAGGTAACATGTAAAGCATACCAAAAGTATGAGCTGATCAACTTGTACAATACTAAGCATGATCTATATGCATAACAAATATTGACCAATGTAAATATGTTATAGAAAAAATTTAAAAATATTTGAATCTCAAAAAAATATGTCCTTATGTGTGAGCATCATACATACATATTGATGCATGTGAGATAAAAAGGCAATATGATATTTACTCCTTAATATTGGAAGATTAAAGATCCTCATGATATTGTTAATCAGATCAGATTGTGAGCATTAAGGACATCATATGGCAAAGTCTCTGAAATTTTCAGTACTTATAAATCCTTATAGCTAAGAAAGTCCCATATCTGTTAATATTTTGTTGTTTTCTTATATATTTGAGAATTTCTAAAAGTGTCTTGCACAGAACACAATCATAACATAATACGTAGATTGTAGCAAATATACATAAGAGATAGAAATAATGTACTTTCACTTTCATACATGCATGTGCATTTCCAACCTTTCCTTTATCATTGTCTAGAAAATACAACAGGAGCTGTGTGTGAGCAAAGAAGTTCTGATCTGGCACTCCTGAGCTGTGTGAGGAAACACACTTTCATGGAAAGATATTCAGACTCTGACACTGTCAAACCTGTATGTTTGTTCCTTTGTTTGTATGTGGAGGACAGTTACGAATAATCATGTTATGTAATCAAACTCAGAGATTGTTAAAAATCATCTAAACAGTATTTTTAAAAATTATATTTCAAATTGATACATGAGCAAATCTTTATAACTAATATATAAAATGCAGTATCTTTGGAAGATAATATTTATTATCTCAAAGAGAACACTTGCAATCATTTTCTTCATAGAATTAGTTATTGGAGTTACAGGAAATGGTTTCGTGGCCCTGATATACTGTATGGACTGGGTTAAGAGAAAGAGAATGTCATTAGTTAATCAAATTCTCATTGCTTTGTCAATCTTCAGAATTGTTTATCTATGTTCATTGTTTATAAGTTTATTCATCTCTTTTTCATATCTAGATTTAAGTACAACTTCAGGAGTGATACATGTCATTAATAATGTTTGGATTATAGTCAACCATTTCTGCATCTGGCTTGTTACATGCCTCAGTGTCCTTTATTTTCTCAAGATATCCAATTTTTCTAACTCTCTTTTTCTTTATCTAAAGTGGAGAGTAGAAAAAGTAGTTTCAGTTAAATTGCTAGTGTCACTGGTCCTCCTGATTTTAAATATTTTACTCATGAACTTGGAAATTAACATATGCATAAATGAATGTCAAAGAAACATTTCTTGCAGTTTTGTTTCTTATTACCAAGCAAGATGTCACAGGCAAGTGTTAAGCGTTCACATTTTTTTCCTGTCTGTCCCCTTTGTTTTGTCCCTGACAACTTTTCTCCTTCTCATTTTCTCCCTATGGACACATCACAAGAGGATGCAGCAGCATGTTCAAGGATGCAGAGATGCCAGAACCATGGCCCACTTCAAAGCCTTGAAAACTGTGATTGCCTTTCTCCTGCTACATTCCATTTTTATTCTGTCCATCTTAATTCAAATTTGGAACTATGAATTAGTAACGAAACCTCATTTTATTGTATTTTGTCTGGTTGTACATGCAGCTTTTCCTTCATTCCATTCATATGTCTTGATTGTGGGTGACATGAAGCTGAGACAGGCCTGTCTTTCTGTATTGTGGTGGCTAAAATGCAGGCAAAATTATACAGAAACTTCAGATGTCTAAAACACTATAGATTGTGTTGTATATTCTAGACAAAGATTAACCGATACAAATATTATTTGTATTTTTCATTTTTTACATTTTTAAGTGTCCTTTGACTTTGACTGCATAAATTTGATTTTTGTTTGCAGCTATCATTGATTAAATTTATTACTAATTTAGATAGTTGTTTAAAAGGTTATGTCTTAATATGCATATCAAAAAAGACTTTAACCTAAGTCATAAATGCATCAAAATTTTACTATTTTTCTATCAAATATTAATCACAGAGATTTTGACTTATGGGCTATGTCTTTTAATATCCATAACAAGCTGTCATAAAAGAATATAACTGAAATGCTCTGAAATATAATATAAAACATGTGAATAAAATTTTAGAGAAGAAATGTATACTATAACATGAAAGTATAGACTAATGGAAATAAAGGTATTTTATTAAATACTGCGTTCAATCTGGAATTATTTTTTGCCAATTCTTTGGTGTCATGAGTCTCCTAAATTGAGTTATGTATATTTTTTATTAGTTTCATTATCAACCATTCTAAAATACTTTCATGATTGTTAAGAAAATGTAATTTATATTTCCTGGTGCAATGTATGCTAATTTATGGAAGATAGTATAATCTATTTTATTTTAATGAATAATTATAAAAAATAAAAGTTAACAATAGTTATAACATAATATTTTGAAATATTATTTGTGATAGATTTACCATATCATGTGTAATCACTTATTGCTGACCGTCATACAGTCAACACCAAATTTTCTTACATGTACCTGTTCTTAATATCTATTTTACATTAAAAATTAAAAACCTTTAAAGTTAAATGAATTTATGAAATAATGTCAAATAGTTAGTTGTACGATAAGATACATAGGTAGTAGGTCTTGGTGAGATGCCCAGTGTTGTTTGCAGTGAAATTGTCATTATAATATGATTCTGAATTTTATGGAGATGAAATATTCTTTGCTCAGTCATAATTTCATTATAAAAATTTCTGCATCAAATTTATAATGTTCTTTTCCATACTCTGACAAAATATACACTCATTTATTGAAAAATATTTATAGTTAATGTCTATCCATTTTAACATTTGGTCATATTTTAATGAGAAACAGAAACTCTGAAATGAAGAAATTTAACGTCTCCTACAAGCAGTTCCAAGGAGGGTTTATTCTCCTATTTGGCATGTTTTCTTTTGTTAGGATTTGTATTACTATTCTAAAATTCTAACACTACTTATCCAGCTTTACAACTGATGGAATAATATTATTCCCACATAACACATACAAAACATACAAACATAATTGTGTCTGGTAAAGTAAACAAAGAGTTATGGAATGTGTTCAGTAGCTGTCAGGTGTGACAGAACATGTCTGTATCCAAACCCTTGAAAAGCAGAGATAATGAAAACCTACAATTCAAGGCCAATTTAACTGGACAGTGACCTCCATTTCACTTAAAGATCCTAAGAACCAGCATAAACCTAAACAATAATTAATATGTAACAGTAATTATTTCTGTGTGATATCTTCAATTAATGTCTGTATCCGTATTTAAGATTTTAGAATAATGTTCAACAATAAATAAAACTTTTGACAATATTAAGGAGAAATGAAATGTTAAAATATAATTGATAAGATTAATTTATTGAGCTTTAAGATTCTATATGATTCTTACTTTCATATGTTATGAAGTGTCTATTTCCTGACATCTGCAATCTTAATGGCATGAGGGAATTACAGACAGAGTTCAGAATCAGAATCTCTGATAAATTATCTTCTTGGCTTTCTAAAATATGTTAAAAGATCTTCACGTACTGTCACTTGTAGGGATCTCTTATGTAGAGAATTTTCATTTCATTCAGAAATTATAGAAAGTAACTCTAGTGGAGATTGTTCTGTTAGAGCAAACTGGAATTTACTACAAATTAAATAGAATACATATTTTTACATATATTTTGTGTTTTCCTCTTTACCTCATTTAATTTTTTATCATGGATTGGTGATGATTATTTTTATACTCTAGACAATAAAATAAAAAATGTTAAAAGAATAATAATTATGAAAATAAGGGTAGAATTTTAATTGTCAAAGAATACTGAATTTATATAAAGATGTGATTATGAAGGTGGACAAAATTTTACACTTCCAAATTTGATAGCTTCACAGGTCACACATAAGTATATAAGAGTGTAATCCACCCACCGTGAAAATGCTTTTGCACAATTAGCTTGTCATTACCAAACAACATTTGTAGAAGGACGTGTTGTGCTGTATTCCAGGGGAGACATTCATCCCAGATAAAACACTAATGACAAACCAAAGAAATGATTTCACTTATGTACATCTTATTGAACCATTGAGTTTATTTGAGTTCTTTATGAAAGGATTGGTATGGTTTTACTTACTTACAGAGTAATGGGTGTCTCAAGATAGCTACACCTATAAGAAATCTATCCCAGCAATAGTCAGCACTTTGGAAAGATGCACAACTTGCAGGTGTCTCAGAAGCAAAAATATTCTCCTCTCCCCAGTGTGTGTTGTTGCCTAAATAATCTTGGATAAGAGCCTTGTGCATTATTGGAGCATCCCTAACTTTTACATTCTTATTCCCCTGGTATCTTGAGCTTCTCTCATCCCTCTCAGTGAAACAACTTCAATCTAAAGGAGACAGCAGGCAGTAAGTCTGCCAATTTTCCACAGGTTTGGACTCAGCTCTTCTTGCATTAGGTTTAACAGGCTAAATAAAAGGAGTTATTAATGTTATAATTCCAAACCATACCACTCAACACACTCAAACAGATTTGTTTAAATAAGCATGAAAGCAGATAGAAGAGACAGGGTGGGGGAAGAAGATGAAGAGAGAGGAGGAGAAAGAGAGAGAGAGAGAGAGAGAGAGAGAGAGACAGAAATCCACAAAACTGCTGACATTTAGTTAATATTATTTAAAAAAAAAGTCTCATAACTTTTAACTTTGCTAAAATATTACTTGAAATGACCACTCTTTGTTCTCTTTGGGTTTTCATTTGAATTTATGATCCCTTGTTCTCCTTAACTTTATTCTGTCTATAAACCTAAAATCCATGCCCAGAATATCTTAATACACATTTAATTTTGAATGATGAAGACATTTAAAACTAGATTTTCAAATAAGAACCAATTCAGTTGTTTAAAGGTGTTGCAATATTGTCTCTGCATCATGGAATTGAAATAATGTAAAATCTAATTCCAAGTTAAACAGGAATTTCAAGAACTATGAATTGATCTCTGATTTCAGAGAGTTAAATGGAGATAATTTATCCTCCTAACCTGACTTTAAGAATATTACTGAGGTGAATTTCCTTAAGTCCTAGTCCAAAGATTGTTTTGACTTCTTCAGGACAACAAGTCATCAAGATCAACAGGAAAAAATATACATGTCCTCTAGCCTGTGATGTCCAACTCATGACAGGGATTAGTTTTCTGTTTTCTTCTGTTGCTAAGCTTGTATCTGACATTGATCAAATGTAGAGTCACTTGCAGAGAGTGTCGGGTTCATAAGTAAAATACATGAAGTTTCTATAACAAAAATGATTGGTTATGTTTCTGTTATTCTAATATCTATTATTTGAGTTTTAGTGATAAGAATACATCGTGATCTCTCTTTTCTGAAGTATTTATTATTTATGACTTTAAAACAAGCAACTCTCCCAACAGGATAGATATCTTTAAGCAACAAGAATGAGGTAAAGCTTAATTTAATTACAAATGCGTCTTTTTTACATATTTATAAACTTAAAATCTTCCTGTGATTACTTTGGGAAAAAATTTAAGCTAACCAGCTTTGAAGTTTTCTTAGGCTTTGTCATGATTCAGATTTACACTGGGAATGGTCCAGAGAAGCTATGCTTTGTAACATAGTCCATTCCTTTTAAAGGGTCTGAGTAAAATTGTGTTATATTTAGAGAAACTAAAATTTAGATAAATTTGATGATTTGAGACATTTTTGCCTGTAGAAAACAAAACAAGCACTCCCAGGAGTGACAACCCTATGCCATGGTTCTATTCTCTTTATTAGAAATGAATTAAATCAAGCTCACACTCAAGGGCACAGCATAGCTTACACAAATAAATGGAAAGCAAGAGGCAATCTCATTCCAGATCCTCTACTACACTCACTGAGTGAGAAAAAATATCATTCAGATGTTGACTTTCTGGTCTATTTTAGTGTTCTATATAAAAAATTTGCATTTTTTAAACAAAAGCCAAGAACAAGGAAACAGGGTGTATGCAGATTCTTGTTTGAAAGATGTTGCCTGTCATGCTCATGCAATTGGGATCCACTGTCTAATATGACATTCTATCATTATTTGGTTGTCAGTAATCTGTTAAAGTTCTTTTCTTTAATTATTTGACCCACTTCAAACAAAAAAGAACAGCACTGTGACATACAGTGCTTTCAATGCTAGCTTATTATTCCTAAAAGAGAACAAATTTGCCCCTCTTCATGAATATCATATTTTGTATTTTTCATCTTTCAAGGTTAAGGTTTCACTTGAAGCTAATAATCTCATTTACTCACATGCAGAAGAAGCAAATTTTCTTGCATTTTACTGTTGCATTTCTTTTTGCAAATCCATATATAGTTTTTGGATTTTTCATGTCACCTAGTAAAATTTTGAAACCCAGAACCTAGATCACAATAGAATAATTAAAATTTTCAGGAGGATCGTGATCATCTGAGATTTGCCTAAGTAAACTGCTATTACTGAGGTACCATGTTTTAAAACTATGTTCTTAGTGTTTGAGAATTTCATATATTATATTTTGATACATTTTACCCCTCACCCCAAGCCTTTCCAGATCCACTGATTTTCATATCTATCTAACTTTCTGTCATCCTTTCTCCTCAAACCTAACAATTCCATATTTTTTTGCCCATAAACTCTTTCAGTTCCCAACCATTTTCAGGTTGGATTTAAATACTATGATGTGAAAATACTCCTTTCTGGAAATGAAGAAGCATCTACTCACCCCTGTTTGGACCAGGTGACAAGTAAAAGTCTGAAATTTTAACTTAGGGACCAAATGAGTTTTATTGGTGTTACTAATGGAAATATGTATGAAAAGTTACTCACAGGAACATAAGTAACTCAAGGACAGTTACATTACTAAAATCTCACACTAGCATGGGTCCTTAAAGATTGAGACTTGGAGTGAATTGCATAACTTGCAAGGCTTGCAGACCAACATGTTGGAACATATGATCCTGGGGAAAGAATCTTTCTATACCAGTTGAGAGGTACATGTTGGAGGGTTTCCTTTCCTGGTGATTCAGGTGTCCTAAGCCGGGTGCAATTCACTCAGCTCGTCAGAGACTCTTCTAGTATCATAAAATAAATATTGATTGAAATATATACATCAAATTATAATTACTGGCATTCTTATTTTGGCATAGAGAAGTAAATAAAATTATAGTTGATTAAATTATTTGTTTATGAATTTTTGAATTTTGTGTAATCATTCTATCAAGCTGTCATAAATAAAAATTAAAATAATATACAATTAATTCTAGATAAAACAGATACATAAAAACTGTCTTTAGAATAGGTGAGGACACTTTGCTCTGAAGCACTCACTTTTGGGTTTTTTGTTTGTTTGTTTGTTTTTTGTTGTTGATGTTGTTTTTAGTTTTTTGAGACAAGGTTTCTCTGTGTAACCCTGGCTGTCCTCTGTAGAACATGCTGGCCTAGATCTCAGAAATCCTCCTGCCTCTGCCTCCCAAGTGCTGGGATTAAAGGCATGTGCCACCACTGCCTGGATGAGGCACTCACTTCTAAAGAAAATTCTGGAATATTGACTGATGAGTGACAAACAGTAAAGTATATCATTTCAAATGCACTGTATTCTGGATTTTGAATTCAAGCTGACTTTGTATTTTATTGTGTAGATAAAATTTTAAAATAATCCTGTGAGATGTTCTTAACTGGTATAGAAAGATTCTTTCCCTAGGAACTGTTGTGGTTCAGGAGGACACTATGACGATTCCACGCCAGAATGAAAGTTATCAGGATGTGATTCAAAATACTTCTTCCTTTAATGTCTTGGTTTAGTTACAAAGGACTATAGTAGTATTAAAGCCACGGGCCGGGGCAAATCACAAAATTTTCCCATTATTTACTTCTTTTTTAAAATAAATTTTCAGAAGTTCATAGCCTCTGGGGACATTTTTTTTACAAATAGTCTTTTTTTTTCTTTTCCGTTGACCTAGATAGTAAAGATATCTGGATTCAGTAGCCATCTGCCTCTGAGAAAATCACTCATAAAATCAATTGTAAAGCATTCTTCAGCAAAGGAAAGTTGCTGTGACATAGTAATGAGTTTCCCATTCATGAATTCAGAACTTCAATAATGGCATAATGCAGTAAGATAAATGATAGGAAAATTTCTATCACTTTTAGCAGCAAGATTCCAAACTCGACCCACTGCGCAAACTACAATGCCAATGCCACCTTTAATGTCTAAGTACACCTTTAATATGAGAACATTCATTTTCATGTTTCAGACAAGATTTTCTTTGAAGAGCAGCCCAGAAGATGATAGTATAATTTGGAATAAAAAAGGATTGATTTTAATAAAAATGCTTTTTGCTAAAATGTATATTATTTAAAGTGATTTTGGAACATCACATAGAAATTGTCAGATTCCATATTCTTTTCCTTCCAGGCTTTATTACTACTATAGTCCTTTGTAACTAAACCAAGACATTAAAGGAAGAAGTATTTTGAATCACATCCTGATAACTTTCATTCTGACGTGGAATCATCATAGTTTCCTCCTGAACCACAACAGATCCTAGGGAAAGAATCTTTCTATACCAGTTGAGAACATCTCACAAGATTATTTTAAAATTTTATCTACACAATAAAATACAAAGTCAGCTTGAATTCAAAATCCAGAATACAGTGCATTTGAAATGATATACTTTACTGTTTGTCACTCATCAGTCAATATTCCAGAATTTTCTTTAGAAGTGAGTGCCTCATCCAGGCAGTGGTGGCACATGCCTTTAATCCCAGCACTTGGGAGGCAGAGGCAGTCTTTAATTTTTTTCTAATTATTTCTTGGCCAAGTCATGATTGAGCAGAGCATTGTTTAGTTTCTATGTGTATGTTTTAAATCTAAATGTCCTCTGTTATGCCTCAGGCCAAAAACAAATGTAGCACAAGAAATGTTAGAGCTCAAAACTTGGGAATATATTTAATTGTGAAGACAAGTCAAACATACCCAAGAAACATCTATAAGGAAGCTATAAGAAATTACCAAAGATAAGGCTTTACTCTCAAAAAAATAGCTTTATTTTGGTAACTTTTTATAGTTTGCTTAGTTCATCCAAAATCTAACCTGTTAGTTCTCCATAAATTGTAAGTTTTTCCAAGATCCAATTATCACTCCTCTCCTTTCTCCTCTACAAAGATGCTTTAAGTACAGAGTTACTCCTTTTCTGTGTTTACACACAATTTTTTTTAAAAAGTGTTCACTCAATCTTCCTCTTATTGTTATTCTATGTGTTCCTTAATTTTATCTTTTTAAAAAGTTACTTTTATAAAATGTCATACACATAGCAAATACACTGCATATTAATGGAATCCATGACTAAATTATTGAGACTTCTCTTAGCACTTACTTTGAACAGTAACAAAGACATCTGGTTCCACAGAGTTTAGTGTTTCAGGTGAGGAGGAACATAGTACAATGAAAAAAATCTGATTCAAATTTGTATTTTAATATATTTGACTTTATTATTTCTGACATTACATCTATGTGAAATTTAAGGGTATATGAATGATGATATAGGCATAGAGACTATCTGGATTAGATTGTAATACTTCTTTTAAAACAACTTCAAATAAAAATATGGGGCTGTATTCATAGACAGATCTTTATAGATTTAGTGTGGGACTAAAGTTGAAAAAAGACAAAAACTTAGGTCTAAGAATTTACCTAAGTATATGTGAATATCTACTCAGTTGAAGGAGTTCCAATCAAAGCTAAAATTACAGTAGAAACAAGCAAGATAAATATGGAAAAGAGTCATTTTCTGTGAAAGTGTGTTTGAGAACTGATCAGCGAGGCAAATTGCTAGAAGTGTGGATTCCATTTTTCTATGTAACTGATTACAGGATTGATCAAATGTACCTGATACTGGTAATAGCAGTATTTATAACTGGAATGCTGGGGAATATGTTCATTGGACTGGTAAATTGCTCTGACTGGGTGAAGAACCAGAAAATCACCTTCATCAACTTCATCCTGCTCTGTCTGGCAGCTTCCAGAATCAGCTCTCTGTTGGTGGTATTTATTGATGTAACCATACTAGAACTAGCTCCTCATTTGTATTATTCTTACAGTCTAGCAAAGTGCTCTGACATATTCTGGATTATAACTGATCAACTGTCAACATGGCTTGCCACCTGCCTCAGCATTTTCTACTTATTCAAAATAGCCCTCTTCTCCCATCCTCTTTTCCTCTGGTTGAAGTGGAGATTGAGAGGAGTGCTTGTGGTTTTTCTTGTTTTTTCTTTGTTCTTATTGATCTTTTATTTTCTACTGGTTGAAATGTTTCCTATTTGGAGAGATATTTATGTGATACCTAAAAGCAATCTGACTTTCTTTTCAGACAAAACTGAGACCATTGGTTTTCAAAAGATAATTGTTTTTGATATGATGTATTTAGTCCCATTTCTTGTATCTCTAGCATCATTGCTTCTATTGTTTTTTTCCTTGGTGAATCGCTCCCGAAAACTTGTTTCGATTTCTACCACTTCTGAAGATTCCAGAACCAAGATCCATAAGAAGGCCTTGAAAATGCTGGTGTCTTTCCTCGTTCCCTTTATAATTCACATTTTTTGCATGCAGGTGGTACGGTGGTTATCAGTTTTGTTTCCATTGAACAGGCCAGTTAGTTTTGTCTGGTTAACATTAAACGTCTTTCCATTAACTCACTCAATTATTCTCATTCTGGGAAATAGCAAGCTTCGACAGAGAGCAATTCATGTCCTGCAACATCTTAAAAGACGGTTTCAAGAGCTGATCCTCTTCCTCCAGAGTCTCCAGTCTATACTAGGGGACAGATTAACAGGGATACTTGGATGGTCACGGTAAATTGTTCTTCTGCTCAGTTTTTTATGTACTTCTGAATATATATGGACTAGAGCATACTGCTTTTCATGAGAAAAACATAATATCACAGTCAGGTTATAACACACAAACCAATCTTTTTAGAATTCATTTACAAATTTTTGTTACTTTTAGGTTCAAATATTTTAAAGAGAATAGTTAATTTTATAGGCAAAAGATATGAAATTTCAATTTACAGGGAAGTTTTATGATTCATTAGATATCAAAGTTACTTGTAAGCCTCAATTGCGTAGAAGATGGGCAAAATGTTATATGAGATTAAGAAAATCTAAAGTTACAGAGAGAAAAATATCAACTCATATTTTAAATCATGTTAAAGCTGTTTCTCTCACGTTCTCTCTGTATTTATTTACTTTTTATATACAAATATTTTATTTGTGTCTATGTCTTTGAACCATATGTGTTTCTTGTATCTAGGGAGTTCACTAGAGGGAATCAGATTCTCTGGAAATACAGTTAAAAATTGCTGTGAATAACACTGTGGGTACTGGAAATGAACCTGAGTCCTCTGCCTGGACAAGCGCTCTTCCCTGCTGAGCCATCTTTTCAGTCTCCACAGCTCAGACCCATTGCTGTTTTGGTAATTGTGTAATGATGATGTTACAGTCTGAGGTTTGTATCATAAGGCGGATGGGCTGGTTATAATCATAGTCTAATGTTCTTATACAAACCCAAGTTTTGTTATTGATCGTATTCATTCATGAGTTTCTTCCCCCACAGCACTAATGTAGTATTTTTATCAATTATATGTGAATGTCCTACAATGCAATATGAAAATTCTTACTTTCTGCTTCTTGAAGGGCTATCCTCTCACCACTGCACAGCCCACACCACCCAAAAAGAGAGAAAACACCTAGTCCAATTTGGGTTTTCCACATATTCATTGGAGCATGTCCAAACTTCCAGTGGGCAGCCCCTTAAAGAAAACTGAGCCACCACCTCAACATAACCACCATAGGTCATCAAAGGCAAAAAACTTTAGGATTTTTATCACACTTTAAAGGGCAGTTTTCAATAGCTTCCTGCGTGGACTGTTTCTGTTTATTTTGTGGGATTGGGAGAATGTATCAAGAGGTTGTCACAGAAAATTTTGACACCTCTCATTCTCAGTTATGAATCTAAAGTCAAAATATTATAATACCACTGCAAAAGATATTTCCTGGCCTATACAAGCTTGCAGCAACATGGACCAGTGAGATCAACATTATGCCTAGCAACAAAGTGGACAACAAACATCATCAGGGACTCAGGTGGCCTTACAGACCATGGATATCAACATTACTTCTGGCAGCAAGAACCAGGGTATTTTCATGAGGCTTAATCCAGAAAATGAACTTTTTAAAATCTTAGATATCCAGATGTTGCTCAATCAGAGTGATAGTGTGGTTGGGCACCATATTTGGGGACAGACCTTCAAGAGTTCCAGGCTGCTGTATATAACCCTGTCTTTAGTGTCAGGTCCACTTAGTGTCAGGGCGTGGCCATCATGTGTGTAGCCTATGGGCAGCAATGCATCCTTGTATTTTCCAACCCCTAGCAGGTTAAGATGCAGTGAAGACCTCCGCAGAGGGGAGACCCTCACTCAAGTCTCAGAAAGTCGCGACCACCCAGTAATCTGCTCGAGACACCATGTACTGGAGCAATTGCAAGGTTGTTTATTAGGGCGTGTGACAACTAGCTGCCGGTCAATTCGTATGCCCACGCAGGAGCTGAATTGACCCCGACTGCCAGTTTGAAAGGGGTTTTAAAGGGAAAAACCACAAACCAAGGAAATGAGGAGGGGGTGAGGGGGTTGCTAGGGTGGTGTAACATGAAAATAGTGGAACATTCTAAAGGAACCCAACCTACGGGAGTCAGGGTCAGGTGAAAACTCTCTGTACGCTTATCTTTCTCAAGAATGTGGTCCTGCCCTGTTACTTCGGCCTTGCCCTGTCACTGCGGTTTCCAGCTTGGTTCCACCTAGTTTACTTACATTCTTTCCTAACTCTTTGCAGATAGGCCAGTTCCAGTAATGGTGACTGGTCTTTCCACATTCCTAAATTGTTTCATGCCTCAGTTTCTCCATGTCTTTATAAAGAAAGTTTAAAGAATACTTTATATGTCTAAAAAGAATTCTGTATATCCAGTATATATAATTTTTCACTCTACAGCAGCAGCATCAGTGGTTCCATAACTCTGGGCAGCCTATCAGGTATCACCTGGGCAAGGCAGGCTCAGTGGTGGACCAAGCTTCCATGTGGGATGAGGGCCAGCCCTACTTGGCAACAACATGTGACTTTGTCTGCACTCCCACATCTGTGGCTGCTATTCCTTTTCTAGTTCTGCTTCCCTCAGGTCTCACATGACTCCATTCCACCATCATTTCATCAAGTTCTACAAAATCAATTTTTTATAGCATGATCCTGAAGAATGAAAAACTATAAAGACCATTTTATAAAATATACATAGGTTCTTCTTTAGGTTTTTCTTTAAAGGTCATGGAAAATTTTCTCTGAAGCAGGCTAAGAATGTGGACAGGCTAGTTACGGGAACTGGCTAACCACAAAAAGAGAAGAAAAGAATGCAAGTCAGGTAGGTCTAACCAAGAAGCTGGTGACCACAATGACATGGCAAGGCCACAATGACATGGCAGGACCACATTTTTGAGAAGAATAGCTATACAGAGTGTTTTTCACATGACCCTGACTCATATAGGTTGGGTTCCTCTGGAATTTTCTGCTATTTTATGTTATGTCTCCTTAGCAACCCCCTTGCCCCCTCCTCACCCTGGTTTATGACATGTGTAAGATGTTTCCCACTCCCTACCTTGGTTTATGACTAACTACTGTCACTTCCTGGTTTCCCCCTTCAACCCCTGGTTTGCGATTTTCTCTTTTAAATATCCCTCGCTCCCCGAGCCTCGTGGTTGATGCTCCCCTTGTGAGCATCGGCCTCAGTTCGAAATCCGGAAATAAAGTCTTTTGTGGTTTGCATCCAGTTTTGGTGTCTTGCGAGTTATTAGATGATCATGACATCCCAAGACTTGAGTGAGGGTTTCCCCGGAGTGGGGGTCTTCAATCCTATAAGAACTGCCTTTTATAGTTTACTCTGGAGTTACTGCAGACTCTAAACTCTCATCCTCCGCTGCCTTCTTCTAAAAGGCTGTATGGACTTTCAGCCTTCCTGGAGTGGCCCCACAGCTTAAATTATTTCTCTCTCTCTCTCTCTCTCTCTCTCTCTCTCTCTCTCTCTCTCTCTGTGTGTGTGTTTTGTTCAGAAGCTAAATTTTAATAAACAGTCCATAAGATATTTCAACAAGGCTGCGTGAACCTCTCTATCTCTCTCTGTCTCTCTTTCTCTCTCTTCCTCCCTCTATTTTTTCCATCCCTCCCTCTCTTTTTTCGTCTTCTCTCCCTCACAAATGTTTTAAAATAAAATCCCAGGAGTCCTACTGAGAATCTGCCTCCCAGCCTCTGATTTTTATTTGTATTAAATCTGCTTTCTGCAACAATCAGGTGCACATATGGTGGAGTCACATGAACTAAATGGCTTCTTTTCTCAGCAAGCATTTGCATGAAGCTCATATAACATTTTAGTGAGTCAGAACAGAGGGAAAAGGCAATGCTGAGGTTTTATACATACCAAGTCTTTAGCTGTAAACTGTTCAGCCAAACTTTCCAAAAGACAAGTCTCAGTAATCTGAGGAAGTAGTAGTAACATTCCAACAAAATGAACTGAAAAAAAAAAAGTTAGTATTTTATCAAAGAAGGCAGGAAAAAAAGGCGAGCCTTTATTAATCCAATGAACATAACATAGAATCTAAATCTAATCTTACCCCATTTGTGAACGATATTATTTTTATTTTAACAGAGAAGAACACAGTTTAGAAAAGACAGAAATACATCCTTAAGGGAACTCTGTCCTTAAGCAGCAAGCAGCTTTTCTGAGCTAAGCCTTGTTATGCATAGTTAGCCAAGACTCTCTCAGTAATCAGCATACTGGACTCGAAAACTCAATTTTCATCCACTCAACTTTAACAGAGAGCCTTCCTTTTCTATTTTAAAAGAGTCACCAAGGTTCCAAATTAGTTGACACTGAGAGTCCTCCTGTGGAGTTCCTAGCCCCTTCAGGGCTCTCAATCCTTTCCCCAACTGTTTGTTTCATAATACTCCCTGAGTGCTGTGCTGATGTTTGGCTGTTGGGTCTCTGTATCTAGTTTAGTTATCTGCTGAGTAGAGCCACTCAGAGAACAGTCATGCTAGACTTTTGTAATGCAATTCCTTTCGGGTCTGGGACACCTCACTCAGGATGATAGTTTCTAGTTTCATCCATGAATTTGTAAAATTATGATGTTTTTGTATTTAATATCTATGTGGAATCCTATTTCTTTGTTCAAATAAACCACGATTTCTGTGTCCATTCTTTGGTTGAGGGAAATCTGGGTTACTTTCAGTTTTTGGCTATTAACAATAGAGCTGGTATAAATACAGTTCAGCAAGTGACTTTGTGGGATAATGGAACATTTTATTTATTTATTTATTTATTTATTTATTTATTTGGATATTTTATTTACATTTCAGATGTTCTCTTCTTGATCAGGGAACATTTTTTAGGTATATTCCCAGAAGTAGTATAGGTGGGTCTTGAGGTACCACTACTCCTAATTTTCTGAGAAACTGACAGATGGATTTCCAGAGTGGTTGTAGAACTTTGCACTCCCACCAAAAGAGGAATATTTTCTTTACTCCCTTACCAGCATGTGCAGTCACTTGAATTTTTGATCTTAGTCATTCTGGTTAGAGTATGGTGAAATCTCATGATCAGTTTGATTTTGACTTCCTTGATGACTAAGGACTTTCAACATTTCTTTAAGTTCTTCTTGGGCATTTTAAATTTCTCTGTTGTAAATTCCCTGTTTAGATCTGTACCTCATTTTATCTCCTTTTTAATTTTTAATTTTAATTTTATTTTTTACGTATTCACTT